CCTTGATACGGCTTTGAGGTTGGCATAAAACCGTCGGTACAATACATATGAGCCGTTTAAAAAGCATCTTTTATTCCAGTCGTGTTCGTTGAAAGCATGTTGGGAGATAAAACACAAGGACCTGTGCATTCACCAAAGTTCTTTGATGCAAAACACTGCCACTTATGCTAATACTACCACTTGATCGGGCGTAGGGATCTAAGTCGGTTCTAATCTTTGACAACGATATAGCACACCTGTACATAAATTCACCTTCTACGCCTAATCAAGCACACTTCCATCCTGAAAACCAGAGCCTCGGATCTGTAGCAAACGTCACTAACAATAGCACACCAGCGGAATGCACCCATATTTGTACAAAATCGAACCGATATCAAGTTACATCAACAGATGCCAATATATGCATATGCACATATGCAATTACATTTGTGTAGCCACTTATATGCGCTTTCAAGCACGTTTCAACCACCTGTGTTATACATTTTGCCGCTGCAAAAAACCCACCAACAAATGGCCTTTAGATGCGCACCTTTGAGATTACTCGTAGAATGCATATCCACTTTGTGAGACCTATGCAATGTTTGGAATGCCTGCCCAGGTTTTGGTATAGAGGTCCTTGTTTTCTCCACCGAGTCATGTTAGTGGGCCAAGTTCTACCATACGTTGAATGCAAATGCTTGTTCAAGCATTATTTTCTCTTCGATCTTCTGATAAGACTCAAGGGCCCGAAACGATGGCAGTGAGATGAAGATCTAATTCTAAAGTACATTCATAATGTTTTGCATTTTTGAGTGATTGACTTTGATGAAGCGCCTGAAGTGCAGATTGAACGCGAAAAATTTACAATTACCTTGCACATCCACTCCAGTTCTGTGTCCTACAAAATATCTGTCAACAATGGGAAGGCAGCTGAATGGGAAAAATCCCCTTAACGTAGCCAATTACTGCAGCTTTACAAAATTATCGATTACGCTAGTGTAATGACTTCTTCACTTTTCTACCGGCTGGAAGGCACCCTACTAAATATTGCTGAACAGCTATGAGGTGCAAAACCTTACCCCAATGAAACTACGCTGAACTCCATCTTTCGTTGCATGACTGTTTTATGGGTAGTCTTTGCTACAATTGGCAGTAGGAATGCGTAATGATCAAAATACCTCACTTCTCCTAATCCAATTACGATACAGAGCGAAGCGTCAGCTTCAGCTAAATTGCCCGAAGGAGGCAGTAATGCCGCCGTCAAGCCTCTCTCCAGCCACACAGAGCTTAAACGACCAAAATGATTGGCGTAGGAAGTTGACCAATGGGATGGTCGAGGAAGATGCTCGAAAGAGAACTCTGTCCCTACGTAGCCACCTGTATGCATGCAATGCGCACTATTTCGTTAAATGTACATTGCAGGCTGAAGGCCATAACACAAACTCCATGCCGCATGAATAGTCGCATTCTCTGAATAGGAACAAAGAGTAACCGTTTCCCTTTTTTCAAATTTTTATAAACAGTACCTCCTCCTCCCCTTCTCTTCTCGTTTGGTTGCATTCTCTATGCCAAATAAACTGTTTCAGGGTAAATGTACGCAATGTACTCAATTTATCCAAGAGAAAGAAGAGACGAAGGGAAAGGCCGCGTAAACTTGCACATCCCCCACATGGGAACCCGCGTGCATTCCAAATTCCATTGATAAAAACACCTACAGACTTACATAAACATACTGAATCAGCCAAACAAATGTCAAACTGCACATGGACTTAAATGTTACACCGGCTCTTGCCCGTGTACACCAACAAACCTACAGATGAAAACGTGTAATTGTGCACAAATTGTGCATTGATGTGGATGAACACACACCGTCTTGTTGGGAAACTACTCTCACAAGCAGAAAGAAATTGATCGAATCCCCTCAAACACTTGAGAAGTCAGAATGTATTAATGGCAACACATGCACGGTGAGGAATGGGTCGCAAGCCCCAGCTTTAGACTTCGACCGCTCGCAATACTTCGACTCAGCCATCGCACTGCATGGTTGCACGGTGATGGAGGAGAGGGCCTTGTAACAAAATTTTACCCCTTGCAAAGCATCATGCGTTACAATTCAAAGCTAAATGAACAACAAGTCTACCCCCAGAAAGACTGGTAAACCCGGATGACGAGTGGCTGGACTTCACCAAAAAAATCGTAAGCGAAAGAGGCTTATTATTAAAACATTCTCCTCAAAATAATCGGTCATACCAAAAACAAAGGGATAATGTTGCAAATGTAATGATGGAGTGGCCTTTAACACTTGACTGCACTGCCGTATCGCAAATTCAGGAAGCTTATTTGGGCCTTTTTCTCCATTGCATTAAGTTCCTTTAGTGCCTCTCTCAAAACAGCCGTATGACCCTCATAGCTTGGCGCGACTAAAAAAGCACATAGAAGTGGAACCAGAATATCAAGAGGAGAAAACAAACCAGAGCGAGTAATACTCACCACTCTTCAACTTCTGCCCATAGATCACTTTTCCGTCGAATTCGTTAACAGGGACCTGAAGATCCTTCGATATCGTATCGATAGTGATACCTAGATGCTCCTCGATTTCTCCTAGTAATTGCTTCTCATTATACCAAATGCAACAGCCACCTCCGGAAACAAGACGCGTGTCGAAACAGTTACGTCCACGTGAGGCGCAGTTGGCATGGTACCATACCTGATGAAATAGGGGAAGAAGTAGTCAAAGGACCTTCAATCATAAATCCATCTTCTTTGAGGAAACGCCATTGTGATATGCGGCTGAAAAAAGTTTCAACATTGCGAAACCATCTAGCGCCATTCAACGTCTATTCGAACCCGCAGTTATCGACTTGGTCAACTGATTGAATGGTTCATTCATGAGACGGCGATGAAACCCCAGGACGGGAAGAGGCACTGCTTACGTCAGTTAAGTCAACAAACCTCCAGCTCCTCTGTGCTCAAAACTGCTTTTGGATTTGTACAGACCGTGAATAATAATATACGAGTGAAAGGCCTAACGACTAGCTCGAGTTAATTTTGAGACCATAAAACAATGACCTCCAACACCTTTTTCTGGCACCTTAATGCGCAAAATACTTGTCTAACGAAAGCCGTACTCAAAGAAGGTAAGTTATGGTGAGCGAGAAATTCTCTGATTAGTAAGGATCAAGAATTGTAAATAAGTGCTCATTAGGCTGAGAAGTTTAAACCACCGAATCAAATAACAGACGGTAACTAAACTTGAGGATCTCTGAAAAAGGTTTTTGATGACCATGGCCTCTGCCTCCTCCCGCATAAGTTTCATGAAATAGAATGAAACGAGCTATAAAATGCGAAACGCTTTCATCGACAGCAGCATATGCAATGATACCTCTTACCTTTTCTTTGCACGTGGCCACCAAACTAATCGCAAGACCCATTCTAAATTAAGGAAACGATTTTCTATTGTTAGAGCTCCGAAATTCGCAGACCTTAAATTTTCGTACATAGAGTAAGAATACAAAAGACGCACCGTTCAGCTCTACCGACACGACCAATGCGATGAATATAGTTCTGCTTCTCGTCTGGCAGCGTCATATTGATTACTAAGATGACGTAATTAAAACGTAGTTAAGGTCAGACAGAATCCAAGCTGTTGGACTACTTACTCAAAACCTTTTTCCGACTGACCAGTAATGAATGCTTTTCCAGTTTCTTTATGAATCCCTATGTTGCATCATATTCCCTATCAGGTCTGAGGTAGTCTTTGGACAACCTTTATAAGTTATATATAATTGCAACTGCAGCTTGACATACGTACAGCCGTGTGAGGACAAAGCGTCGTCTATACGTAGTGTGCGAAGCTTTTGGACGTATCCAGTGGTAGACGTGTTCATTCACTTAGTGAGAAGCAACACAAAGCCACTTCATATCTTTACCACATAAGGCATCACAAGTTACATCTTTATAGAGTTCAGGATGAAGGAGAGGACTAGACTCGGCTGCCTATGAAGGTTGTTGTCACTTGCCAGAGATCGGCATTTGAAGCCTATTTCAGTCATCACTTTCATGACTCCACTACCTCCCCAGTTTAATTGCCGTCTACATAAAGAATGATTGAGGATTCTTCTTGAAACGTTGTTATTGGATTCTTCGAAAAGCCGATAACTATACACCGAACATGCTATTCAGTGCAAGAGAAAATGGAGGAACTTCGGTTCCTCTACTTTAAGGATTCCACTTGTGAGTGATGCTTTATCAGATTCACACAAACTGATTAAGCCATATCCAGAATGTTGCACCACTACCATATCAGGCACCATCCCTAAAGTTGGCAGGAAATTTTGCAGCCTTAGATGCTGGTTAAATTTGGTTCAGACCGCGGAAAAAATGAAAACGATCATCAAATTCCTCCAATCATAAGGGGCAGTTCTCACCATAGGGTAGACCTGTTATGTCGATACCACGAGCCGCGACGTCAGTGCAGATGAGAAAATTGACATCACCATTCTGAAAGAGTATCGGTCCAGACGTAAAAGGAAACCCAAATAGAGGAAGTAAAATGGTAAAGAAGTGAGACTAGTACAGGCACCTTGAATTTCTGCAAATTTGTTTTTCTTTCCGCGGGGTTTCGATCACTGTGGAGGCAAACACAACTGAATTGACCATGGAATTTTGACGGACCTACAAAGAAAAAATGCCAATAAGCGGAATAGGAATCATTGTCTAGTCTCCTTAAGAGTGTAGTCGTAGCACTGTTCCTCATTTTGCCTACAGCAGACCAGGATCTGTTATTTCGGCGTCTGAAAAAAAGTTTCGGTAGTCCCTCTAAGTGTTTACATCCACTTTACAGTGGCAGTTTTCTTTTCAAGTAGCACAATCGCAGTTAGAAACATCCGAAAACTACGACATCCTAGCTTCATGATCCAAATATTCTAGTCCGATAATTGTCCCATCACTGTATTGTAAGCCTTTGTTTCTATCCCTCAAATCACGCGATGACACGCCGTCATAGTTACTTCTCGCTCTTATCTGCACAGGGTTAGGTGAGTAAGCATACCACCACAAATAATAAGTTGGAACTTACCGCCCCCCAAAGCGGTGAAATATTTCTCCAAATTATCACAGTCCAATTTAGTGCGACAGAAAATCAACGCACGGTCCATTTTCTGCCGTTCAATTGCTCGTACCACATACTGTCCCTTGAGCAGTTTTACTGCCTCTGACATGAGTTCTGTTTGAAGGAAAGAGGGGAAACAGCAAGGACAATCAATGACGATAAGGGAAGGGTTGGGTATGGACCAGGAGTCAAAATTGACTTAACCAGAAGTCTCATAGTTGGGATTAAGTTGGTCCCTCATATGAACACCATCAGTTTGGATGTGTTGACCGGATTGGCTCATCATCTGCCTCCACGAGGTATCCTGATATGGATCAACGGGGCATACCTGAAAGGGAGTTGAGATTTACTTTAAATGTGCGCAAAGCATGCGAGCATTTCATTGCATTAGCATACACAAAAGGACAAATGATCATGTTCCGTTACGGCAATGGTCGATTTCTGAAGTTCATCGGCAAGGACTCATTCACGTAATGCATACCTAACCTTCCAACATACCGATATGATTGTTTTACAACAAAATACTGCTAAACTGACCCCCTCAGATTTTGAAGATTTAGCTTTACAGAGCTTTCTGGAATTTTTACTTTCACTTCAAGTCCTAATGGATAACTTAGAATCTGCATTCAGGGAAAGGATAATAAGACCATGACCTATCCCTTCTTCGTTTCCAAATGACAAGTATTCAAATCTAGAAGAACTTCAGAAGGGCTTAAGAGTTGGAGTAGTAGGACAGAAAGGATTGGCTCAGATGATAAGGTGACATTAGTAGCAGAATAATGCACCTTGAATGAGCAATTGGAAGATGTGCCAGCGACATACTATGGAAGCACTTTGTCAGCAAAAAATGGAGAAGACTCACGCAATAACCAAAAAGGTATGCATGATCTTATGACTAGGTGAGTCACCTGTTTGTAGAATTTATTTGAGACCCCAGAAGTTAGATTTGGAGTCACGTTTATCCCGTCTATGATACTAGTCTGCTAGACCGCTTATTCGTTATTAGTAGTTACTGCGACGCATCGGAAATAAATTAGCCGAATATAAGTGTAAAATTGTACTACCATCAAGTAACTCAACCCCAAATATTGACTTACGACATGGTGGACTGTTTCCGGAACAGAATCTTGACCCTTCAAATCGATCCAAACAGGGAAGTGCATCAACTGGTTCTAAGGTAGAAGAACAGTAGTAATTACACCAAAAATGTGTGCACAATGACCCTACTGAGCTTTTAACTTACCCACGAATTAACTTTCACAAGGGAAAATTAATCTGGATAAAATAACAGCTTCAAAGGTGACCCAAAACATCGCAATGACAATTTTGGTACGCCACCTATTTACTGAAGTGTTCAAGCACACACTGGAAAAGAAATGCATCCGGCTAGGATGTCCAGTAATTTTTAGCCTTAAGCTTAAGTCAAGAAAGCCAAGAATTGCCTCTTCTTCTTCTTCTTCGGCTACTTGGCTGAATCCCAATGCTGGTGAAGTGTTGCGTCCAATATTGTTAGAATGACTCACTTCTTGTACACTTTACCCAAACGACAAGGTAAAAATCGCAAAGCTGCTTTACAACCTAACCATAGTCAAATAAATGAATGTCTAACTTCTGACTGAATGAGCGCCTCTATACCGCACTGCCTTATGCTTGAGATCTACCATGGACTCAAGTAACTATCCGCGACTTGGGGTGCTGAGCCATGACCGCAGACTGCTTTCTGCAACTACACAATTGCTGCTTTACACCAGCTCAATTAAAAGCGTGCAGGCTGAACCAATACATGAAATATTGTAAGCGTAGAACCTACTACTGCACGCAGTAACCATTAAGGTAACGTGACTTCTCGTCGGTGCAAAATTTCACGGTCCAGTCGGACTTGAACACTTGCAATCCCAGAATCGCATATTTTACAATTCTCTTAAGGCAATGGTTGGAAGCTGCGTTTGTTAAAAGGAACCATGTCCAACCTTGCTGCCTAAGCAATATACATGATGACTACAATGGGGGGCTTAAGATGCAGGCAGTCAGTAGGCCCAATAATAAGGATTTCAAAATAACCGCTACCATCGTAGCCCAAATATCTTCCTAGATTTTACTAATTTCTTAGTTTTTAAACCAGGAAATGAGGTCACTACTAGCAAAAGCAAACCATATTAATTATATGGTTTCCATCCAAATCAATCTACTTTTACGTTGTTTGGTACAACCATTTATAACAGATCGGTGGAGGCAACACCCCACGCATGACTAACAGGGCAATGCATGGGAATAGAACATACAGCGATTTTCTTAACATCGAACGAGTGTAACGTAGCTGAACACACAACCATTTGAAGACGCTTCCCATCCGACGTAACCTTGGGACAGAGGGCGTGCAGGCGCTGAATCATCGGCCCGTAGCCGGCAGAAAGAAGACCATCGCATTCGTCTAGAATGAAGAAGCGACAGTTCGACAACAGCAAGGCGCCCGTTGAGACCATATCCTCCAGACGTCCAGGTGTAGCGACCACTATATCAACCTAGTTGACAAGTAATTGATTCAAAAATGGACGGAGAAGTAAATAGACAGTCAAATAAAGTGTGAATGGAACAAGAATAGATAAAAAAAGAAAGTTGAAGACAATGAAAAGATGCAGGGTGGGAAAGATTGCGAATTAGCGTTAAACGCATCTGAATGGTGTAAATGGATTAATAATGTTCTAGGTGCAAATATACGTAAACAAAGAGCTAAGGAAAGGGAGTATAATTCGATGACAAAACTTTGGGATATTTCGGCAAATAGATAACACTGAAAACCTTTTACGCACGAATACATCGGAGGTGGGGTTAAGGAAAAGGTAGGCACAGATGTGGATGGACGAATGGAGTTATGGTCGCTGACGGAAGGGTGGACAGCGTGAAGGAGGATAGTGTGCAAATTTGATGAGCAAACCCAAGATGCCTGGATGAATATACGGAGAGTGAACGGATGGTTGGGACGCATGAAGGCCAAATGGATAAATCCAAGATGACTACGCAGGAAAATACCCAGGGCAGAAGAATACGTCCAAGAAAAAACGAAAGAACAAATCAGTGGAACGTAAATCAAAAACAAAAATTGCACATGTTTAGACGCCATTTTTAAACCATTCTTCTGTTAAAATAGGGATTTCTTCCAGCAGCGTAGACTATGGCCAAATTTATGCTTTCAGGGAACAGAAACAAGAGGAAATTTAAGTCAATACCCATAGTTTGATTGATAGTTCAGTGAATACATGAGCAAAGGCAATGGTTGAATCAGTGATCGATATAAGAACGACGTTAGGAGTAATTTAATCAGTATGGGATGGAAAATTAGCTATAAACACTAGGACTTGGTGCACGGAACCGAAAAGCATGGATGGAGGTGAAAGTGGCTAGGGGACAACCCTATAAGGATCAGAAGAGTTCCAAATAACAAAGGTGCTGATGAGATTAAATCTTACAGGAAAATCAAATGATAAAGTTCAAAGGGACAACATGTTTTCATCTTAATGGTCAGATAGACGATTAATTGCAGAAATTCGTAGGTGATTTCGCTGCGCCACAAGTAAAGCTAAGTGAATAAGTGAGTCCAATAATGACATACCCCTTTATTAATTTCCTCTGTAAGCTCCTTTGCGCTGGTTCCACCAATGACCAATGTAACACGAGGACTTGGATCTGCGAGATATTTCTTAAATTTCTTCATCTGATCGTAGGTCTGCTCTGCTAATTCCCGTGAAGGCTGCCAGAAAACGAGAGGTAGCAGTTATGCAAAGCTCCTTTAAGGCTAATCAGTCCTTTTCCTACCAGTCACACGTATACGAGATCATGACTTGGCTGCCCAAAATCTAAGGTCCCAAATAAACAATAAGCATTTACAACCCGCATACTGAACAAGAGGGTCCTGGATTCTTAGAAATTAAACGTGAAATCCAGTCTTCAACTGCCAAGGACACACGAGAAGAAAATGCTACCGTGGCGATGACATAATAACAGACGCCAAGTCAATGTCAATGAACTCGCCCAAACTACACCTTGCTTAACAAGACGCAGAACAATGGTGGTAGAGAATGCTTGCAACAACTGCTGAAGGGCAAACACCGAATCGACAATTTCAATTTTTTCCAACAATATACCAACTATATCAACAACGATCTTCCAGCACAGCATACCTCGGTGCTGAAAAGTTCAACTATCCAACAGACTGACAACATAATGGTGCCAAAATCTGAAAGATACCCACATATGTGCGCGTTAGTAAGTGCCCCGATATAGTCGTTACCGGAGAGTCGTCTTCAGCATCCCTAATGCAACAGTCATTTCCATGTCCGGAAAGCCTTTTCGGGTACTAGATGTCCGATAAGCGTACATTTCACCATCATGAAAATGGATAGGGATCAAACGATTCTATAGCATCAATGCAAACAAAACCACAATTCAGAGTTTAGAAAATGTGGTACAGGCTAACCTCTGGGTGACAAAACTGTTTTTTGCGCAGAAGAGTTGAACGTCATGCAGCGCATGAATCTGCCTCAGAATCGAAGCAAAAAACTGTACTGCTTAAAGCAGGCAATCTAACTAATGTTGACGAAGTAAAACGAATTCAGAATAGCTAACTCTACTTAGAAAATGTTTTCAACAAAACCAAAGTTCAAATGGCATTTAGCCACCCTTCAAGAACCACTTAAGGGGTAAAGAATGCCCTGATCTCACCTCAACAACCAAAGCCAGTGGAGATTTGGCACTGGGCTTGAAGGAGCCCTGTGACTTCCCACCTGCAGTAAGAGAGGATAAACGCACAGAAATAGTTGCCAGCAAAGTAAATGAAGAGAAAATAAGATAACGACGACGAACCGGTGTAAGACGATAAAACAACATTTTTCTCTTCTGCTGCGTTGATTGAAATGAAACCATCGCTGGGTGGAAATGCGAATCGCGCTTCTCCGAAGTTAAGCAACAGTTCGGCGTTCTTAAGACTTACCGAGGGGAAGAGTCCTGATGAGACGTGATGGACTGGCAGATCAAAAGCCTTGGGAAAGCGGTTGCCTATTAATAAGCGAGAAATTTGAGCGGAAAATTTGACATGCGGCAAAAAAGGTGACAGGAGATACCCACAAACCTTAAAATGCCTAAATACGTTAACATTCATCTTGATCACCGTCTGTTCCTCAAACTAGCTAAGCACTAACAAATACTTAATTTACTCCCCTGAAGACAATATGCAGCTGTTAGATGCAGTCGAAATACAAAATATTTTCCATCAACATCAAATGAACTCAAAATCAATTCCAGATGACAATAACACTAGAGCTGAAACGGTGACAATTAAGGCCCCGAAAAAAACTTTGGTTATCACCGTGACTCACCATTTTTGGACCAGCTGACAGTTCTAGAGTCCAAATCGAGGTAGCAGCCGAGAACATCGTTAAGTCCAAAAGACTCGCCATAATCGTCGAATTGACGACGATGGGACTTTTTTCCTGTACCACCAAATCCAAAGCTCTCAGCATCTGTACCAATGTCATAACAGGCCAGAGCAGTTGACCAACCAACACGGCATAGCCCGTCGTCATTGACTTTCGCTTCATAATAGTACTTGCCTGCAAGTATAACGAGAAGTTGACGAAGATATCAAGTCTTTCCTGAAATTCATTTCAGGCACCTCAGCGCTACAAGAGCGCTACTTCCACGACAAATCGCAATCCAAGGCCCATCTGCTGAACTACCTCAACCCTAAACCCAACAAACTACAAACAGTAAAACTAATACACCAGGTTGTAAATGCTGCCGCGTTAATCACCTCTACTTTTGGGCGGCAGATCCTAAGTACTTTGTTCGTTTTTCGGTAATCGTAATGCAAGGTGAAATCAGTAGTCGAAAAGCAGACTTCACACCGGAAATCAAAGAGGAAGACCACAAAGAGGTTAGCAATCTACAAATTGCTTTGAATTCGACATTAACCAGTCAGAAGTTGCGACTCATTTCCAAGCGAAAGGGAGGAATAACAAACTTTTTGTCGACAACAAAAAAGCAAAGCAAGATGCCGTGGGGGCCTGATTTTCGACTATGAAAAGGAGAGACGCAAACTTATTTGGTTGCCTCCCATAGTGTTAAATGGCACCACATACTGAGCCGATGTATTGTAACACGATTCATCTGGGACGCCAAGTTCTTATGGATAAACCAAAGATGAATTAATGCAGCTCCCTAATCCGCTTTCAAACAACAAATCAAAACAACCAACAACGTCGGAGGGAAAGGTGATGCCTCCAAGATTTCCAAAGGTACCTCATAAGAGTTGCTCAACCCTAGAGAAAAGGTGGCACCACCAACAAATTACAGTGAATTTCACAACGTTGACATCTGTCGAATGGAGCGATTCAGCATATGCTTAAGGCAGAACGCCCCAATAGGGTTATTTAATTGTTAAAATTGTTATAGCCCACCATGGTTTCGAACGCCCTTTGTGGCTCGTGCTCCATGCCAGGCAAACTGATCCCGACTTTGGCACAAAAGACCATTCGGGTCAATGGCAAAGGCCTCCGTTCTATCAAACACATTGAGACAAACATTTTTCTTCCCAACGGCGTCACCTCCGGTAGCCTTTTTGATCTAAAACGAAACGGAGGAAAGAGGTCAAATGGAATGGAAAAATGAATACACTCCCAAAACAGCACATCCACAAGTTATTATATGCAATAAGTCCACTTAAAAATTGGACTTAAAACTAGTTGATTCAGCACGTATAGAGGGTTCGATTCAGGCCTGGGTTTTCTAAGGAACATAAAATTCAATATTCATGTTGTGGACGGGTCAAGACTACGTATTTCAGATCAAGCACTAGCCAACGCTAGCAGAAAGTGCACACGACCACTTCTAGCGACAAACACCCTCACTGCCAACGCCATTAATAGCACTTTCGAAGGACTTCTAGCACGGTGCAATGTGGTGGAGGGACTTTTGATCGTTCGATGTTAAGACAGTCGGATGATGTTAAAGCTCCTTACCCTTGCATGTTAGCAATAACCCTTAAGTGATGGTTTCTGGCAGCAACTCTATCACTCTCACAACAGTAAAGCCAGTGCACGAAGTGGCATTTGGGTACTAGGCGTCTGGTCAACATGCATTCCGTCATTCTAAAAATGTACGAGTCAAGAAAGCTTTTCTTGTGACAATAGCTCACCAACACGAGTATTCTCTATTCTAAAAAGTGAATTTGCCTTTTCCATATATGATCAGCTGCACTGAATAATCGTTCCATCTGGAGGACAAGATGTAGTTACAATAAGAGATGGGACTACGAAAAATGCAACTATATTCCGAACCTTAGCAATCAAAGTGCCCCGATTTAACAATGAGCTACCTGGTTTTACGTACATATTACAAGTACAACGAAATAACTTAACCTACTATCCGTGAAGTAAACGGACACGTATAAGCGTGTATAAAATCCGTTGTTAAAATCGACCTTACCGATTTTCCCCCCTCTAGGTCCTTAATCGTCTCGTAGACTATCTGAATTACAGGAAGACAAAAGGCACCAGTCTTCCCACTACCAGTTTCCGCGGCCATAAGAACGTCACCACCACCCAGAATGAGAGGCACAGCCTCGCTCTGAATGTCAGTCGGTAGAATCCAATCCATCTCCTGGACTGCCTTTGATAACTCTGGCAATACGCCCATTTCTGCATAGATTAAAAACAATTTCAATGACAGCTGAATGCAACTAGGTTAAAAACAAGCGCTTAACCTAAACCACTGTCATGAACATATATGACACTCCACTTTTTCCGCATGTCTAGCTAGTGACATTCAATTTTATACAATCGATAGGAAATGGAGGAATAAATGAAGCAACCAATCTAACGGTAGAACAATACAAAAGCTAGGTTACAGTAGCCCGTTAACCTTGAAATCTGATCACTGTGTACACTAAGAGTGCGTAGATTATTATCTTCCACTTTGGATAGGTCAAACATTGTGCATGAGTTAGTTTCGCCACGAATATGACGATTTTTCCTATCATTGCTAGAAGTGGTAGAAAGCTTAGACAACTTACATCCATGAAAAGCAAGCTATAATCACTTCAGCAGATGAACGCTGAAGTGCTATAACAAAAAGACCTAGAGGAACGCATTTGTGGAACAGTCTAAGACAATGAACAACTTGAATCACACGAATACGTTATCAGTAGCACGAGAAAACAGTGAATAGTGGCTGGAACGGCATTAACTCCTTGATCGCGATTTATGAAAATGATTATAAATAGTCCGGAGCTAAGATGATATGTTAGTGAATAAGTCGGGACCTATTCATATAACTAGGCTGAAAATTACGAGCAACACACATCCAAAACAAAGCCAGAACACCTTTGGTGACTCAAAGAACGTTTGTGCAGAACGTGCGACTGGGAAAGTGCTCGCAAGTACCATGATCTCATTCAGAGATGAGATCAAATCAATAAATACCAATGCTTGGAAAAAAGATTATTATCTTCAGCCACACGCAAGAAGGTCGTGAGGTGAGTAAACCATTTCAGGTGATGAAACTTTGCCAACATTCACTAGATTGTGGTGTATGATTGTACCTCTATGCGGCATACCAGATTATTTAGGCGGGCTAAAACAAACGCTACGGCATAATCGTGGAGACCTAGTATTAAAAACAATTAAGAGTGAGATCCATTTCACAACGCACTAGGAGGATGCGCAGCTGTGAACTTTAAACTGATGAATACTCACCAGTTTCGAAAGCTGTACCCATTTCACGGAGACACTCGTGATGAGAGCCGCGTGTGTGACTGTGTGAGTCAAAACGCCAACATCCAAAAGGCTTGGCTAAGTCGACTGCAAATTAAAATGCATGCCCCTAGCTTAAAATGTTTTTAATGTAAATATATATGTGTGTTGCGATTTAATTCCCTACCGACATTATAATGTGCGTACCATCACATCTGTAAAGATGTGTTTTGTCACCTGGAAAACCGTCCTGCTTTAGCATCATGCACTTTTAAAAGTCGAGGAGTTGTGGACCAACAACAAAGTTCTAATTATTGTTTTTTTTAATCTTTGTTTATGTGAATACTTAATGTGTAGTGATTACTTTGTATTAATCTGGTCTTTGCTTACGCGGTATGTTCTCTGACCTCCGTCCAGGTTCAATCTCTCTTCCTCTCCCTAGAATACATGTATTCAAGTTAACTAAGCACCATCTTCTATCTAGTTTCGGGGCGCTGCATTGGTGGCTAGGGGAAGCGAACACAACCTTCTCACGGTTTCTATACTAGCGTCTACCATTTGTGGCATGCATTTAGTATAAGAGGAGCTGGAGGATTTCTGATATTTTCAGGATCGAAGGCCGCCGTGTTTTTCGACACCGTCGTGAATTGTCCGAAAATGTTTCAAACTGGAATTCTCTCCTACATCCGCATATGGATGTTGGAAGTGGCACTGCGGATCTTCTTATGTGCGGAAATGTTTCTAATCAAACTCTTTTTGGTAACACATCTGTACTTCAGCATTTTAATGTCTGGTACTGGGAGCAATCACTGATTAACAAATTTATGCTGCTCCGGTTCTTGCTGTTAGACTGGAAATTACTCTAGGTTCAGTTGAACCTGTTAAGGAGACTAGGTATCCTTCCGCGGTCTCGTGCTAGCTGTTAATTGTCTCTGTCCCGTAAGTGTTTTCTTGCAGTAACGATTCTGTTGTGGCAGTTAGTGCCGGGGTTCGAGGACGTCGCTCAAAAGGAGACAGGGCAGTGTAGTACCCTCTGGTGCCTGGTAGTGTCTTTGATGTTCGCCCTGTCTTTGTACGCTTCGGCTGGTCATTAGACCACGCCACGACTTAATCTCTTTATCTCCTAGAATACATGTACTCAACTCAACTTAGGGCCTTCTTCTACCCGGTAGGAAGTAGTGGAATGCTGCAGCCATAAATTTGGAATACTATTTCTTGCTCATTACAGTCGTTCTGCATGCGACACTCGATTTTCTATACTTTACAAAGTTCTAATTTTGCACTAACGCTAAAATGCATTTATTGTGGTGTGCACTGTGCAATAATTTGCGTACTTAAACACTTGTAAGATTGGCAGTTACTTTTGTAATCATCTTCCCCTGAGCTGCGTTGACTGACCTTCGGGTCGAGTCTAAGTCTAGCTTCTTTCCTTTCTCCCTAAGCATAAGTATTAAGCGCTATTTAATGCCTTCTCTTACTTACTGGGAAGTCTCTAGGCAGTACACGTACTCTTCAAATTTTTCCTCGTTGAGAATGCTGCATTACCGACGGTGGGAATTGTGATCATGCTAACTGAAACGTTTTACTGATCGATAAGGAATATGGATACGCCATTGTGAGCCAGTGATTTAGTGCCTTAAGTCACCTTGACCTTTCACTATCATGGCCAGCTAATAACAATTATGGTGTGAAAGTTTAACTTGTGTTTCAAGGGAACACTGTTCCGGAGCAGTGACGCGTTCCACCAAGAACCTAACCGGAGGCAGAAACGTTCCACCTCCCTACATTTAGTGGTTAAGATTGCTGATTGAGACTCTGAGGCTACTGCAATAGTAGAGCAGTTATTAATCCTCCAGCCTCATACCTTCTTAACCACAATTCTCAAAACCCATAGTGCATCAAGCATATCTTGACTACGCGATGGTGTGCGTACAATCTTTGAAATTGTGCTACATCCGATTCTCCATTTGCAACACAGAAGATATTGTACTTTTATCTGCAGCAAAGCGTGTATAGTTTGTGATGTTCAATGACGGATTGCAGCTTCGGCATCACTTTCTTCTGACCACCGATAACTGGGCTTCTGAGGTGTCTGCCTTCTCTGGATGTTTATCAGGCATTATAATACTCGGCGTAAGAGATGGAGTAAAGGGGAGGAGAGAGGATTGTCATTTTTTCCCAGTTACGATGTTCTCCGCTAGTATGGCACTTGAACGGAATCCAAATCCGACATAAAGGACGCGTTTTAAACGGCTCATATGTATTGTACCGACGGTTTTATGCCAACCTCAAAGCCGTATCAAGG